ATATATATATATATATATATATATTTGGTTTACATAAATTTGTCTAGCCACGACAACTTTTTGTGTGTTGTAGACACAGTAACCAAATCAGCTGTGCAATTCTTTTGATATAATTATTAACTGTCTCATGAAAAGGTTCAGCTACGTATAATCTTTTCATTATCTGGATGTGAAGATATCTTTATCAGTTGTCATGCATTATATGCTTATCATCAAAATATGCAGAAATATGCTGAAATTGAGTATTCTTTATACTTGGACTTTAAGAAAACGGACCAAATTTTTTACCCAGTTAGAAACTAGTCATCATAAATTTGAACCGGAAAACAAGTATAGTATGGCTAACTCCTAAGTGTTCTGATACAAGTGCAGCTTACACTTATTGGTAATTCCCATTTTGCCACATAAGGATGTCATGCCATAACCCTTAGCGCGTACTTTCTTCTTGACGCATTTGGTGAAATTGTATGTATGTGTCTGTGTGTCTATGTTTACTATATTATCATCCTTTAATTGGGAGAATGTTAACCCTTCTGTGCTTTCCCTTCTATCTGTTGCAGGGGGAATAATTTGGAAAGCGAAAATCATTATAGGTAACAAGTTCAGTTTTCTTTCATTTTTTTCTTTATTTTTTCACATTTATTTCATTAATGGTCATATAATAATAGAAATTTGCTATGCTTGCTCTCGTAAATAGTGCGGATACTTGGTGAATTAATTTAATCTTGATCTATATATATTGAAATTATTCACACTATTTCAATAATTTTTAAATAATCATCTCGATCACTTTTGTATTCAAGATTTTTTACCATATTCCATGAAAAAAATTCACTTTTGTTAGTTTGGTGGTATAAGTCAATACATGTCTTAAATTTAACAAAATTTTGTCATTGCATTGGTCTTTAGATTACACTTACAAGTTTTAATGTATTTTAAGATAAGTATATTAAAATATATATATACATTAATAAATTAAAAAAAGTGATAAATATTTTTAAATCGTCCAACCGGACAATTTAAGATTCAATACATAATTTGTATGGTTTCATCTTACATTATTTTTAAAAGAATTCAATTCTTTTATAAAACTCAAAGACTTTACATAATTTTTGTATTAAATTTCAAAAAAAAAAAACTAAAGCTAACTCAATAAAAATTCTTAGGTAAACAAAGTACAAACACAAATAATTAATGCACACTTACTTGCAAAACTATGACGCCACAACACTGCCGTAGAAAATCCATTTGACCTGTCATAGAAAGTTTTGTCCGTACTAATGATTTTTTCGTTATGCTTCGTATGCACACACTCTCACACACACATATACCAATCTTAAAAATCCAGGGGTTTCATTTGCTTTCAAAAAAGTTATTAAAAAAGTTTTTGTGAAAGCTTTGTAAAGAATGAAACTGTTTTCCATTTTCCCAGATAAAGTTAATGAAATATGCTATTTTATATAAGATTTTGATAAGGAATTAAGCCTTACATTTTGTTTGGAATATAACCTTTGAAATTAACAAATACAAAATTAACTATTATCTTGTTTTTTCTTCTTATCATATCTAAATAGTTGAGTTTCCAATATTGGAAATTAGCTTCAAATGTTTCTAACTCCTACGTCTTCTAATATATTTATCAACAGGTCTTGCAAGTGCAACAATGGCAGTATTCATGATATGCCTCATAATAGGTTGTAGAAAACGTATCTCATCAATAAGAAAGACAAATTTTCAGATTACTAATGAGCAAGATATTGAAGTATTTTTAAAAGATCATGGAACTCTAGCACAAAAGAAATACAGATTTTCAGAAGTCAAGAAAATGACCAACAACTTCACAGTTAAACTGGGTGAAGGTGGGNCAAATTCAGTGCAGTCTGGGATCAGCTGCAATTGGACCAACCCACTCTTACTCCCATCCACAAATTTTCCATCCCCACCCTACTTACCCATCTACACTTCATTTTTTATTTTTAAATTCCATTCCTTTTTGACAAATTATAGTATTTCTTTTACAATTACTAATTATTTCCTTCCTCCTCCGAATTCTTTCCCCCACCAAGTCCCATAAAACTTTAGGAATTGAGTTTGTTAAATATAGTAGAAAATTATATATGAAATTAATTTATATTTTGTTAGATATACTCCTAGGATCTTTTATTTATAAGCGGAAGCTTTCGAGCAGCCCTTTTTGTACTATCATTTTTGTACTACCATTCATCGTAACGGGATACGTTGACCTCAAACTGAAACTTTTGTCAAGAAGAATTTTGATACAGGGATCACTATTGTACTCATACGAACTTAACATCACACTGATACCATGTTAATCAGTACTTCTATCTTAGGACTTTTTGTATTTTTCTAGAATTTATATTATACTTTAATAGATTTGATGGCAATCAATTTCTCTGTTTATGCAAGGATAAGTCCTGCTTAAGAAGTTGTGACAGTGGTAATAATATATTTTGAAATATTGATAATTTTTTTGTTGTTTATTCAGATTCCTGTGATGCTTCTATTCCTTTCATGTTTTGTTTCCCCATTTCCCTCTTTTGGGTACAGATGCAATTTCAATCCTACAATGCCATTTCAGAATAGGCTAGCCAAATAAGTATACCAGAACTTTGGCTAA